CACTCCCTCGACTTCTCCACAGCTTTTCTTCAGAGCAACCTACATGAGCAGGTCTACATGCGCCCCCCTCAGGGCTTTACTGGTACCTTCCCTCCTGGGACCCAGTGGCTCCTGCGGCGCCCAGTCTACGGCCTGTGATAGGTGCCCCGTGAGTGGCACGACACGCTGCGAGCTACCCTAGCTGACCTGCAGTTCTTTCCGTCCTCTGCCGACCCCTCACTCTTGTTCGTGCTGGCCAGACCCCGTTCTACATCCTTGTTTACGTAGACGATCTGGTCTTCGCTACTGAAGACAGGGACGCGTTGGCCTCCTTGAAGGCAGAGCTACTAAAGAGACACACCTGCACTGACCTGGGAGAACTGCGTCACTTCCTTGGCCTGCAGATCTCCAGAGACAGAGCAGCGCGCACCATCACTCTCTCACTGTCACACTTGGTGCGCCAGGTCCTTCCGAGGTTCGGTCTTTAGTTCTCCTCTGCACAGCCCACACCTCTGCCGGTAGACCACAGGCTCTCAGCTCCTGTTCCTGATGAGTCAACAGTGCCCAGTGGTCCTTACGCAGAGCTGGTGGGTTGCCTTATGTACCTGATTACTTGAACTCGCCCAGATCTCGTATACACTCTCAGCATCTTGGCTTGCTTTGTGGCCACAGGCAGACACTGACCACAGCACTGGTTGGCCGCTAAGAGGGTTTTGCGTTATCTAGCAAGTACATCAGGCATGGGGTTAGTGCTAGGAGGACGTAGGCCAGTGGTCCTTACTGTGCACACAGACGCTTCTTGGGCAGACGACGCTGAGACCCTTAGGTCCTCGCAGGGCTACTGCTTGAGCCTTGGTTCAGGTGCCATCTCGTGGAGAGCTACCCGCTCCTCGTCTGTTGCCCTTTCTAGCTGTGAGGCTGAGATCTACGTCGGTGCCATGGCGGCACAGGAGCTCCGCTGGCTGACCTTCTTGCTCACTGACTTAGGTGAGTGGCCTAGCTCTGCCCCGATTCTGTACGCTGGCAATAGGGCCATGATCCTCCTGTGTCATGAGCCTCGACTTGAGAGAAGAGCGAAGCACATCCAGCTGCGGTACTTCCTTCTGCGCGAGCTACAGCAGCGTCGCCAGGCACGCGTAGTACACTTGGCCTCCGGTGCCAACATAGCTGATACCTTTACGATGTCGCTTGCACCTAAAGATCATCAGCGGCACTGTGTTCAGCTTTGTCTTGTTTTTGTAGCCTCTCATTTGCTAGGGCCTTGATTGTGTACAGACCTTTATATATATATATATATATATATATATGTGTGTATGTATGTATGTTACCCTGACTAGCCTTGTGCCCTCTCCCAGTGGTTGGACTAGTAGTGCCGCCTTGGTCTTGCTCTTGCATTGGTCTGTACTCATTTGACTGGTCTTTAGACCCTTGCCTCAAAGGCTGGACTAGTAGTGCCACCGTGAGGTGCTTGTTCTCTCGCCAGGCATTGCCCCTATACAGTCGAGGGGGTGTGTCAAACATATCTTCGTATGTTGTTGTAAACTATATAGGGTTGTGCCTTAAAAGGTATAACCCACTAGGTTGTATTTCCTTGTACTGACCCATTCTAGTCATTCTAACATTCGAACAATTGTGACATCCATACGACATATTATTGACACTAATATGTGTGTCATCCATTCATATTGATGTTTTTGCCATACAAAAATTAATGCAATATTGGTAAATGCGTGCCATATTGAACCATTCATATTTTTAATATATTACCCCTTAAAGATCCTACCAGGCCCCGTAATTGACACATACGCGTATTGGCATGCTCATCAATATTACAAAAGTTTGTTCCTTGCGAGTGTATTCAAAACCTCGACATGTATTTTCAGATCTCGTTTTCATTTGTTTGTAAACGAAATGCATCTTCATAAGGAGGATGCGCAACCCTTTCGGCGCTAAACATCGAACCTTGTTAGTTCTTTAGTAGTTTTGTTACCTTTTGGATTTTATGTAATGATATGTATCCGCAATAAATGTAAGCGACACTATTAACGTGTAATTTCCATGCGTACCATTAATATATTGTGTCGAGCCATGTCTAGTGGTTTCTAGTGTTCATGTGTTCTCTTTCATGATGAGTGTAAGGATTTCATGAATCATTAATCGGTTTCGCCACAGCGAGTATCGCGATCATAGCGGGTCCTCAGCTTCGGCACTCAAGTCTCGCGTCAAACCACCCCCGCCAATCTAATCGGCCACGAACGTGTTACCGATGCGCTCCGAACGCACTTTGACCCCGTCGTCCTCGGGACTCTCGAGCCTCTGACTGGTTCAACCCTCAAGGTTCAACCTTGGTCAACTAGCCTTATGCAAGCCCTATGCCTAATTTGTATTGACAGGGATTGTAGTCAATCTCCATTATAGAATTCTGCGCTATACACAGGAGTAATTCATAACAATGAGCATGTCGAACGGTTATAGAAGGAATTGTTAAATTATATTTGTTATTATATAATTGTAGGCTTGGTAGTCGCTACTGAACATTGTTGTAGAGGGTACAACACCCCTCCTTGTATCCCTCTCTCTTCTTTCCTAGTCTCTCTTTTCTCTCGACACTCTTGCCTACCTCCTAGCTAAACCCCGCCGCCATTGTCATGGCGTCCTAGTCCCTAACTTCAAGGCAGGAATGCCTTGTTACGAATTTATTGCTATGGTTATTATTTTATTCTATGCTATGCGCCCCAAACATTACATTGATATGAAAAGAGATGAATGGTTTCCATAGATATTTTTTCCTAATTATAATTATATTTCTCTCAAAGTATATAGCAAACTACTAAAAATCCATGTTATACATAATGATAGTGTTATATGATGTTAATTAAAATGTGTTGCGTAACATTTCAGCCTAAGCGCACATGCAAAATACTCTGTTCCCGATGTTCTTCTTCGCGACTTTTGCCAAGGCATGTACGAAACACGTGGGGGCACTACGGAAATGTTGAAACTGACGGTTACCAGGTAGGGAATCTGCCGAATACAAACTGGTAATGTTATCAATGGAACTGCCGAGTAGCGCGGAGGGCAATGGCGAAACTGTGAACGAGTGGATGACAATAAAATTAGAGATAACACAATATTTAGGAAACCTAGGGCGATCTTGGATGTAGGATCGGATAGTTCGGGGAAAGTGTTGAAGGGCCTTGATGTGTCGAAGCGAAGTCCGGAAAGGCCCAGGGGCTCGAACAGAAAGGTCTGGAACCCTATTGCTGGTTCGGGACTGTTCGAGTCGTACGCCCTGTAGCAAGCCTCAGTGAGGAATTACTAATTCCTTACAGGTACCATGTAGGGATAATTGGTACCACCTTGGGACAAAATCAAACTGATGGTTACCGTGAAGCCACGTATGTAACTGATGATCACCTCGAATGATGGTTACACGGGAGATTAATGCCCTGCGGATTAACAGCGAGGCACGTGCTACGCGGACTTGCCCGGACCAGCGGCGAATCCGAGAAACCACGTAAGGGGGTGGTGCGTCATGCAGATGTGCCATGCCCAGGGCAAATGATCTGGGTTGACCTCAGCCTCGCGCCCGAAGGCTCGAGCCCAAGCCACAGAACAGGTTCCGCAGAAGACACACCTGCACTGACCTAGCAGAGCTGCGCCGTTATCTTGGCCTGCAGATCTCCAATGACAAAGCAGCGCGCACCATCACTCTCACATAGTCACACTTGGTGCGCACGTCCTTCAGAGGTTCGGACTTCAGTTCTCCTCCGCACAGCCCACACCTCTGCTAATAGACCACATGCTCTGTGCTCCAGTTCTTGAGGAGTCAGTAGAGCCCAGTGGTCCTTACGCAGAGCTGGTGGGTTGCCTCATGTACCTGATGACTTGCACTCATCCAGGTCTCGCATACACTCCCCGCATCCTGGCTCGCTTGTGGCCACAGGCAGATACTGATCACAACACTGGTCGGTTGCTAAGAGGGTTTTGCGTTGTCTAGCAAGTACATCGGGCATGGGGCTAGTGCTGAGAGGACGCAGGCCAGTGGTCCTTACTGGGAACACAAACGCTTCCTGGGCAGACGATGCTGAGACCCTCAGGTCCTCCTAGGGCTACTGCTTTAGCCTTGGTTCAGGTGCCATCTCATTGAGGTCCACTCGCTCCTCGTCTGTTGCCCAGTATAGTTGTGAGGCTGAGATCTACGCCGATGCCATGGCGGCACAGGAGCTCCGCTAGCTGACCTTCTTGCTCACCGACTTAGGTGAGCGACCTTGCTCTGCCCCGGTTCTGTACGCTGACAATAGGGCCATGATCCTCCGGTGTCAGGAGCCACGACTTGAGGGCAGAGCGAAGCACATCCAGCTGCGGTACTTTCTTTTGCGCGAGCTACAACAGCGTTGCCAGGCCCACGTAGTACACTTGGCCTCCGGTGCCAACACAACTGATATCTTTAATAAGGCGCTTACGCCTAGAGATCATCAGCTGCACTGTTTGCAGCTTGGTCTAGTTCCTGTAGCTACTCACTTGCTATGACCTTGATTGTGTACTCCTCATTATATATACCTTTCAGACTGGCCTTGTGGCTTCTCTTCCTGTAGCCAGACTAGTAGTGCCGCCCTGGTTTGCTCCTCTCTTGTTTGTACTCTTGCTGACTGGTCTTTGGACTCCTGTCTCAGAGGTTTGACTAGTATTGCCACCCCGAGCTGCGTGTTTCTTGCTCAGCACTGCCCCTTATCTAGCCTAGGGGATGTGTCAACTTATACATATATTTGTGTGTAGAAGTTATAGGCTAGATAGGTGTGTGTTCTTATTCTAACATAGGTAAGAAATCAGTTTTTCAACTGCTAGGGTAGAGGCGCAAAATCGAAGGATTTCTTTGCGACATATGTTCGCTCAGGCCTTCGCTTGCAGTCAGATCTTTCCGCAGTAGTGCAATCCTCGCTCGCCGTTCCATTGCACATCGTATGCACAACTACAACCACACAAAATGTATCAACTTCGTTCAGATATAGAACCATCCACTATTTTCTGATATTTCATTCTACAAGTACGGTAGACGCGTTTTGTGACTCAGCATTTTCCCATCTACCAACCACATCAGCCATAGATGTGTGGTTGATCCACGGCTCATTCCAACATGTGTCCGCGATGCATGTGTGCAGGAACAATGCTGGAATATAAACCCCCATTGATGTCTTTGGTTGTAAGACCGTCTTCAGCTGCTCATATAATGTCAACGCCGTCCAGAACAAGGAATCGCGCTCCGGCTTCAAGCATGCCGACTTGAAACTCCACCTCAACTCGCCCCATACTTTGTTTCTCACTGTAGCCACGATACTTTTTTGGGTGTAGAGTATTTCCCTCAAGCATCGCAGCGAATAAGCATAATTGGAAGGCAAGAGGTTCCCGATCATGGCAGTGGCATAGTCGAAGGGCGTTTGGAAGAGGAAGACCGGGGTGGATATGTTGGGAAGAGTGTGCTGTAGAAAGAAGCATTTCCATTGCTCTGATTGGTTGGCAGCTGGATAGGAAGGGGTGGAGAATGGTAAGAAGGGGTTAGAAAGCGACATCAAGGACAAAGGGACCAGGGGATGCACTTGTTGTACAAATGGAAGAGGGAAGACGGGGTTGCAAGCGTACCATGTGCGCAAGTGGGGTTGAGTGGTTGGTGTAACGATGTGAGGTTCTGTGCGAGCATGCGGAATGTCCGCCTTGAAAAGCGATCCTTTGTGTCTGAAACGAAGGGAGAGAGCGAGAGCAACAAAGAAAGGACCATTCGGGGGAGAGAAAATGGGACCATCTGTGGGAGAGAGGAAGGGTGAAAGGTCGAAACAAGGATGGAAAAGCGAGGCGTGTGAATAAGTCACCTTAATGAGCAATAGGCGTTTGCACCAGCAACAACGCAAGGGTTGGCAGACCAGAGGTTGACCTACCGAGGAAGAAGCCCGAGTCTATGAGGCACCGGACGGAGACAGAAGGGAATGAAGAAGCCAGCCAGTCACAGAGGTTTGCCACGGCCTGCCCGCCAGCCGAGCTGCCCGTAAGCAAAATCTCTGTGGCAGAGACAATGCCACGCCTTTCATGGAGGTCTGACGGGGTGGTTGTGGGGGGTGCGTCCGTGGGTCGAGGAGTCGAAAGGAAAGGTAATAAAACGAGACGTAATTTAGGGAAAGATAAATAAAAGGAGATGTACATAAAGGTACATGAAAGCCAAAGCCAAGCAAAGCCAAAGCCAAGCAAGGTTTGCATTCGAGGAGAGGAAGGTCTACATTGGTGGGTGGGTGAGCACTGAGCCCCACAAAACAACGAAGACTATCGGCACACCTAGTAGATGGGTAAGCGCAGCACACCTTTCAGCACGGCCTGGACGATGTTCCAGCCGTCCAGGTAAATGGCTGAAGCAGGGGATTCGTTTGACCCTGTTTGGTCCGTTGACTCCAGTGACTCGGTTGACTCCATTGACTTCATTGACTCCATTGGTCCAATCGCCTCCAATATCGGACCCGTTGCTGCAGCGAGCCTCGCGGTTTTCGACGAAGTGACCGAGGAAGGGACGGCCGAAGAAGGGGCGGCCGAGTTGAGACCAAGCAAGGTGCCATCGCTGAGGTTCACCCGCCCTCTGGTGCCGGCGTAGCCCCCCCCGTCGCAGTAGACCAGCCTCGCGAGGTTCCAGTTATGGAAGCTGGGGTTTGAGCTCTTGTTGGGGCTCAGCATACCTTCAAAAGAAACCTGATACAAGGCAAAGGGTTCAAGGTACGTAACAACAGTGCACAAGAAGGGCGTTGATAATGGTTCAGGCGGGAGGGGGTGGGTTGGAGAGAGAGGGGGATGAGGAGGGTGCGCCCAGAGCGAGCTCGGGAGGAGGGTTCTGGAAGTGGGAAAGGTGAGCGCTCAGGGCTGGGGTGGGAAAGTACCACTTGCGACGTTGTGAGGGTTTAAAGGTAGTAGTCTTACGTGTTTGGGAGGCGTCTCAGTGTATCCTTTGGTCGAGCCGAATCGTGTTCGCGCCCGCTTCGCGCATTCCGCGACAGTGACGCACCAGCCGCCCCCGGGCAGGTGAATATGCCATTTCAGGCGTCCTGAGTCCCTGCCTCGGCGGAAATAGTATCCTGGAGGGCTATAAGAGGGAGGATTGTTGTGGATGGTGTGGAAAATAGCCTATTGAGGAGAGAAGGTGGGGCAGAGAGGAGAAAACAAAAACAAATGATAGAGTGAATCCAATCATGAGGCGCAGGAGTGAAAACTCGTACGAATGGAAATTGTAATCCCCTGGGTTCCTCAACTCCTATCCCCTGGGCATGTGGCACGTTTACTATGGGATTCCTACCTGCCGTCCAGGCATGTGGCACGTTTACTATGGGATTCCTACCTGCCGTCCAGGCATGTGGCACGTTTACTATGGGATTCCTTACCTGCCGTCCAGGCATTTGGCACCGCGCGTGCTGTTGGGGAGCCGAACGAACGTCGGGCTATCAGAGGGCTGCTTCCAGGGCTGCTTCCAGACGATGACTGCGATCATTAGGCCCAGCAGTAGCGCGAGCGCTGCGAATATTGTGAGCGATTTGAGCAGATGGGACTTTCTGTCAGACATGGCCGCTACTGCACGCGGCGGAAAGGACGAAGGGATTGTGGAGGCGCCTATACACTTACTTCTTCTTAAAGTGATTACTCTTATACACGAAAATAGGAGTACTCCTATTTTTCTATGCGTCGCTGTGTCGCTGTCCTATCTTTTAGGGTGGGATTTTCGCGGGTGTGAAACTTTGGGATGATATAACACGATTAGGTAATCGTCGTCATGCGCTCTGCAAGGAGCGTCATATATGTGGCTTGAGGATCAGGAAGGATCGGTACTATGCTAGCCCGTTCTTGCCACCGTGCTTGCTGGCAAAAAGATGGAAAGAAGACGAGACGAGGGCAGTAGCGGCCCCACCCCACACACAGCCGCACCAACCAAGGACAAGCCTCGCCCCGCCTGCCCAGGGCGGGAGAGGCGCCTCAAAAACCCACCATTGACAAGCCTCGGTTCTGCCCAAACTGATGAACGAAAGTCGGAGTAGACGAATCCGATGAAAGAAAATGCTGAGACGACTTGGGGAGAAGTGGTGGTTGGTTGGGATTGGATTGCGCAATAACGGCGGCAGGCGCGACGCCGCAAATTCGGACAGTTGATGCGCGTGGACTTGCCTGGTTGACCTGGGTTGAATTAGAGACCCGATAAAGGATACAAAGTCTGGTTGCTGAGGGCGGAGAACAGCTTCTTGCAGAGTCAAAGCTCTGAATTATGGGACTTCAGTTTATGCGAGTTGGCACAAAATTATGCCTATCAAGGCGTAACAAAATCTACTCACTCGTCTTCCCTCACAGTCAGCCATTCTTCATTCCAAGTTCGTTCGAGTAAAGAACCATCCAATACTAAATGGCATAAATGTCATTCTATAAGGACAATAGACGCGTTTTGTGACACGGTGTTTTCCCATCTACCAACCACATCAGCCATAGATGTGTCGTTGATCCATGGCTCGTTCCAACATGTGCTATCAACGCATGTGTGTCAACTTATACATATTATCTATGTAGAAGTTGTTGGAAATATCTCAAAGAACTTAAGCGTTTCTGAAGTGTAACACTACACTCGAGGAAGACTACAAGGGAGCACGCGAGTCAACGGAGGTTACACGAGGGGGCGGACAAAGAATGCGAAAGGTCGCAACTGGAGGTTGCGACTGACCATTACAGCATCATGGATGGTAACCGAAGTAGCAATCGAGTCGCTGTGCGACTCGATAAACCGTTCCTGTAACTGTACTCTACAACTGCTTTCTTATCTTCTATATATTGCTGTATGCTTGTTTCCTTAATCAATCACTTGTTCTCACATACTAGTACAAGGGTTCAACTGCCTCAACTTCCGCTGCACTACCCCAAGTCTCAAGTCTTCACAGCTGGGACTTAGTCTCTGGAAAGATCCCAAGGGCTTTTCTCAGCCCAACATGGTATGAGAGCTGGTCAGAGACCAAACTCCCAGCAACTACGTTCTATCACCAACCTGCAACTCAACTCAATTCAACGACTTCATTGATTGCAATACATGGACAGCAAGGGCAAGAAAGTCTCTACGGGCTCACCCAGCGGCCAAGAAACTCAACACGGCAACTCTGGTCTGCACACCTCAGGACTGCAGACAGAGACCGGGACTGCTCAAGAAACAACGGGAAGAGTACCAGAGATGGTTACTCCATCTCCCTCTTCAAGCGTGGACCCCAACCTTATGGAAAGGTTCTTCAGCTTCATGTCGCACTTCGACCAGCAGCAGCAGACAAGGACACCTGCGCATTCAACACAGAGCAATGGAGGAAACATGGGATTAGCGCCGATGAGCCTCGACAACTCATCCTTCGGGCGACACAACCAAGCGCCTACCTTTGCGCCGTATCATTCTTCACCGGGGACGTTCGAGTTCATGCCGCCCCGCGCCCAACCAACAGCAGCTGCATCACAACAAACACCAAACGAGATTCTCAGTCTTCAGGCTCAATTCTCACACGTTATTAAGTTACAAACATCCTCACCGTTCAACGGACACGACTTCTTTACCTGGAGCTTCGAGTTCGAGCTGCTGATGGAGGCCGCGCATCTTCTGGGATACTTCAACGGGTCCCTGCCATTTCCAAGCAACGGCACTGGAAAGGAGCAAGAGATCTTCACGTATCAGTCGCTGCTGGCGTATACAGTCCTCTTGCGGAACCTGTCACCACAAGAACACCAGAGCATCAGAACATATCGGAGTTATGGGAACTCCGCGGAACTCGCATGGCATCATCTCAAGTGCCTTTATCAAGCAAACGACAGCGTGACGCAAAGCAGACTCATGCAACAACTGACAACAATACAGATGAAGACCGGGGAAAAGGCAATGCAATATATGAGTCGATGCCAGACTCTCCGCGACCGCCTGCTTCGGTGCGGAGGAACAATCACTGAAGAAAGATTCGTGACACTTGTCCTCGCCGGGCTCGGGCCAGAATGGAGAACCACACGATCACTTCTTCGCGCCCACGGAAGAATTTCGGAGATGCACCTCTGCGCCGAGCTTCACGCTGAACAACAGGAGATGGACCTGTTCGAAGAAAGACAACCAAGGAAGCAGCAGCAGTTAGTCTTCTACACTCAACGAAGAAACGACAACACCTACAATCGACGCAGCAAGCAAGAGCGCGACAACAGAGGGACTACCTTTGTGCCGCCGTTCTGCCACAACTGTCAGACTTCCGGGCACTCCAAGGTCAACTGCAACCGCCCTCGCGTTTACCGTCCAGCAGACCCACAAGTTGCTTCAACCCAAGCAAGTCCCCCAAGACGCTCTTCAACATCTGCACAACAGACACCAAACATTATCAATTGCATGGTACACATCGACAACTGTGCACCCGGCTCACCACCCACTTACGCGCCAGACGAAGAAGAGCTCCCGCCACCACGCTCACAAGGACTTCAAGTCAATCCGACGTACGCTGCGGTCGCCAACGCCGAACCAACCGGACGAAACACCTGGTTCCTGGACAGCTGCTGCGGTCAATACATGTGCTCCTCGGGACGCTTCGTGCAACAGGAGAAACGGCTCAACCGCGACGTCGTCATCACCGTCGCCAACAACGAAAACCTGAAGACAAACAGACAAGGCGTGGTTCAGTTACAATCCATGGAGACAAACGTAATACTTCAGCTCAACAAAGTACTCATCGTCGACAACTTGGGATACAACCTACTAAGCGTAAGCCAACTAATGGCCAAGGGGATTCACCTGGAGTGCGACTCCTTCTCCAACGAGTTCCGGCTTTACCACGGGAAGGGCGGCCTCTTCATAGGTCGTGCCCTCCTGAAGTCCGGTGTCTTCGTGTTGGACTTTGTCCCCGACCGCGGTACTGCCGACAACGACGGTATCGTATCGTTCGCCGCCTGGACACACCCGCCGGACCTTGATCCCGACTTCGACAATGACGGCTTCTGGCACTCCAACACCATACCTGCAGCAGAAAGAACACGAGCATTAGCAGTTATCAGACAAGAACGGCAAGTACCAACAAGCGTCCAGTCCCAACCATCACCTGCAGTAGCAGCAGCAGGACCAAGCCGAGTACCACCACCGGCAGTCCGAGGACCGCCAACCGAAGCAGATCAACTTATGCCCATCACACGAGAAGTCTGTCGAAGTCCCGCCACAGTCGTCGCATTCTTCTCCAACGCCGACATATACCACCGCTCACCCGGACATCGCGCTCCCGACGACATCTGGCACCAACGCCTCGGGCACCCTGCAAACACTACAATACTACAAACCATCCAAGCCGAAGTGTTAGAACGCAACGCCCTCCTAACAACGAACGGCCAAGAACTTCGACGACCTCGCGCACGGTGCTTCACGTGCCCCGAAGCAGATCTTCCTCATCAACCCTTCCCATCACATCATAATCCAAGCGCGCCTGCATATGCAACGATGGAAAAAGTCTACAGCGACATCTTGAACATGCCTCGAGACGACACGGAAGCCGACTTCAACTACGTCATCACCTTCGTCGATGCAGCAACAAGATACACTTGGCATTACAACCTCAAGACGCGCGATCAAGCCTTCGACGCCTTCACAACATGGCTCCCCATCGCCGAACGGGAATCAGGAACCAAGCTAAAAAGTTTCCAGTCAGACGGCGCACTGGAATACCAGTCACAACGCTTCAGGACCTATCTGGCGGAAAGAGGAATCAGGCGCCTGGTGTCCCTACCATACGCTCACCAGCAGCAGGGGGTCGCAGAACGCATGAACCGGACCTTGCAGACGACAATGCGAAAGCTGCTCGTGGGAATGAAACTACCCAACACACTGTGGCCAAACGCGATGACACATACAGTCCACCTGCACAACCTGTTGTCCTCGTCATCGCTCCCCAACAACGCATCACCACACCTGCTGTGGACGGGAAAAAGGGGCAGCACAAAATTACTTCGAGTTTTTGGCTGCATGGTACAATACAGACCCCACACAGCTCGAGCAGGACGCTTCACTCAACGAGCTCGGTGGGGACTACACCTCGGCATCGCCAAACATTTTCACGCGTGGAAGATTCTCGACATACAAGACAAAAATACGGTGGCATCACGTGATGTTATCTTCTACGAGCGACTGATGCTGCAGCATTACCTGGACAACATTGCCAACTCAGACGACCCCACCGACGGCTTCGCGGGCCTTCGCTCCTTCGCTGACCATGCTGCCGAGGCTGACGCAGCAGAAGAAGACGTCCCTGGAGCCTCGGAGGCTGCCGGACCACTCCCCTACTGCTCCGTACCTGTTCCACTCGATGAAGATAATCCCCTCGATAGCAACAACCTCGACACCTTTTACCACTTCGCTGACCAAGGCTACGCTACACCACACCCCGTCGACTCGAATATTTCCGAACGCATCGGGCCAAACTTCTTACCCGATCCTGAAGACGGTGATGAAGCAGCTTATCCCGGGAATGAAAATTCCCCTCGACACACAGCCACGGGACTGCAGATCCTAGGACTATGGGTCTCCGTCCAGCACCCGCCGCCGCCTTCTCCGCGCGAGCCATCGACCCTGTCGCAGGCTCTGGGGGGGGAACATAAGGCGGAATGGAAGGAAGCAATGGAAAAAGAGTTAAAAGCCCTCCAAGACCGGAATACATGGAAGTTAGTACCGACAACCAACACCAACGGGAGGAACATTCTCTCGGGGAAATGGGTGTACCGCATTAAGACCAACGCGGACGGCTCCATCGAACGTTTTAAAGCGCGATGGGT